AGATGAACCCCGCTAGACTGACATGTACACCTTGTCATTATTATAGCTGATTGATTGATTGATTGATTATTTGGTGTTAAACAACACTTTAAGCACTATTGGCTGTTTCATGCGGCCCAACCAGGACCTTCGGTAGGACAAGAGTGCACAACCGGAAATGTCTCGCCTACTATACTGACCATTGATTTTATGTTGATAGTCCTACATATAAAGTTTTACTACAAGTATCACATTAACATTTATGATCCAAGAAAATGAGGTCAAGGTCAGATAAACCAAGCTGGAAATACATGTACACCTTTAATACAATCATTCCATACACAGAATATAGATGACCTATTGCTTATAGTATAAAAGAAACAGACCAAACCATGGAAATTCTATACTGACCAATGAACCATGAAAATGAAGTCAAGGTCAGATGAACCCTTCCAGAAAGACATGTACACCTTTAAATCATTCCATGCATCAAATATAGTTGACTTATTGCTTAAAGTATCTAAGAAACAAAGTTAACCAGGAAAACTGAACATTGACCAATCAACCATGAAAATGAGGTGAAGGTCAGATGATACCTGCCAGACAGACATATACACCTTTCAATCATTCCATACACCAAATATAGTTGACTTATTGCTTAAAGTTTAAGAAAAACAGACCAAAACACAAAAACTTAATATAAGCAATTAACCATGAAAATGAGGTCAAGGTCAAATAAAACTTGCCAGACTGACATGTATATTGTAAAATATTTCCATACACCAAGTATAGTTGACCTACTGCATACAGTATAAGAAAAACAGACCAAAACACAAAAACTTAACATTGAGCAATGAACCGTGAAAATGAGGTTAAGGTCAAATAAAACCTGTAAGACTGACATGTACATCATAAAATATTTCCATACACCATTTACAGTTGACCTATTGCATATAGTATTAGAAAAAAAGACCAAAACTCAAAAACTTAACTTTGACCACTGAACCATGAAAATGAGGTCAAGGTCAGATGACACCTACCAGTTGGAAATGTACAACTTACAATCATTCCATATACCAAATATAGTAGACCTACTGCTTATAGTATCTGATATATGGACTTGACCACGAAAACTTAACCTTGTTCACTGATCCATGAAATGAGGTCGATGTCAAATGAAAATTGTCTGACGGGCATGAGGACCTTGCAAGGTACGCACATACTAAATATAGTTATCCTATTACTCAAAATAAGAAAGAAATTAACATTACAAAAAATGTTGACTTTTTTTTCAAGTAGTCACTGAACCATGAAAATGAGGTCAAGGACAATGGACATATGACAGACGGAAACTTCGTAACATAAGGCATCTATATACAAAGTATGAAGCATCCAGGTCTTCTAGCTTCCAAAATATAAAGCTTTTAAGAAGTTAGCTAACGCCGCCGCCGCCGTAGCTGGATCACTATCCCTATGTCGAGCTTTCTGCGACAAAAGTCGCAGGCTCGACAGAAGTCGCAGGCTCGACAAAAACAAAACATCGACCAATGAACCATTAAAATGAAGTCTAGCTAGGTCAGATAAACCCTGCCAGATGGACATGTTTACCTTACAATCATTCCATATACCAAATATAGATCACCTATCACATAAAGTACCTAATTAATGGACCTAATCATGAAACGTAGTATAAACAATGAACCCTAAAAAATAAGGTCAAGGTTAGCAAATGCTGTCACTGTTGCCTTTGTTGCCTGACACCATTTCTATATATTGCCTATGAATTTCATTGCAACCATACAAAAAACACATATATATATACATTGAATTTAGATATTCTTACATGTAACAGCATTCCAATAATCAACAAACATTTCACCAAATATAGTTGACCCATTATACTCAGAGACACAGATCTTAACTTGACAACTGTAGCATTAATAACCGTCTCATCACATACAACCTCCTTACAACATTTGGTAATCTTAGAGGGATCAGATAATGAGTTTTGGCATATTGTAAACGCTGCCTATTAGGTACTACCTATGTTTTCCTAATGTAACTCATTTTGGTGGCAATACAAAACTCATTTACAAGACAACTTGTTAGCAGATGATTAACATCTACTGTGAAATGAAATAAATTAACATATTTCTAAAACTTAAAAAAACAAAGTATTCACAGCTCACTTCATCATTATAGGGAATATTCAGTACAAGCATCTAATATTCCAGTTATTTAAGATAACCCACAAATAATTATCTTGTTAACACCAACATTAGATATGACTCTATAAACCCATAAATGTTTCCATGTTCTGAATATCTATATCAAATCTGTAAGGTATTGATTCATGTTCCATCAAGCTAATTAATGAAACTCATAGGTTGTCAATAAAACAAAGAAATTATAAATTTTGCATTCATACCTCTAGAAAACACAGCAATTTCAACCACAAAAATGTTTTCTAAAAGCAATGACTATTAGAAAGATTTATATTTTAATAACAAAAACAGATGGAATTCCTATTAATCCTGATATAAAAGTAAAAAAATTCAAGGTTTTAAACCATGCGATCATGTTGATATTTCAATACAAGCAACAAAAGAGGAATTAATTTGCAGCCTATGACCAAAACCCATTTCCAGAATATGAATTTTACACTTATTTTTTTCAAATGAAGCAAGCTGGGGAGTAGTACTGGTCCAAGGTAGTGTAGATGCAAATATAACTGTTCTTTGCACATATTATCTAATTAACTTAAATGTCCAAACTAATTATAACATTCTTGTTATTAAAATTCATTTTAGTATAATATATACAAGAAAATACATATTGTTCGATGGTATTGCCAGAGAGAAATTTGACATTTAAGGGTGACCAAATCTTCATATCACGGACACCCTTAGTCAAGGGAAATAAATGTTTTATTTCGACTGCCTATACTTTTTTACTTCCTAAACATAAAATATTAATTTACATACAACTTTTCTTATCTACTTGCTTTTATAAATTTACAAAATATATTCATAAACATTGATAAACAGTACTGATCAAAAGTTCATTATTTTACTCTATTCATGAGAAACTAACAATTTGTAAATCTGTGAACCATGGAAATGAGGTCTAGGTCCACTGACATGTATGTCCTACTAAAACTTCAAACCACAGCCTTATTTCATACATAATACAGATCGTCTAGCTCTTTTACATCACTGAAATATTACGTTTTATGTATTTGGTTAATGCCATCATAGTCAAAGCTTCTATGTTGAGTGTACCTATGTTAAGACAATGATTGGAACAGACATGTTATCATCCCTAGAACTGTGGTATATCCACCAGGATTTCAATGTTAATTTGGACAAAGCTATGGAAGGATTAACTGATGACTGCTTTATCCAGCACCAAATATTACATGCAAATTCAGGACAATAACTAGTTGTGTCATATATGTATATATCAAACTTTGTACCTAATCAAAGAAACATACTATGTCAAATTAACAAGTCCAGCTCACAAAGAAAATGGGGGAAGAAGCATAAACTTATTTCATTACTCCCACACTTTCGATGAGCAACCTATCCCTCAAAATACTAAAGCAGTTGAGTCAATACCCATCATGTGTCTCAAAGTGACATGTAAACAAAATCTTTCTGTGGAATTGACATTGGACATGTACATGTTTCTATTTTTAACAAGTGACTGTAAGTTTTGTAAATGTAAGACAAATGGTTCAAAACAAAACATCTGAAAATAAATATTTTGTCCAAATTTCAGTCTATCAATGGCTGCTTTGATCTTTAAACTATTAACCATAAAATTTTATTAGAGTGTTCCTCATTCCATGGGACATTATCGACCCAAGTTTGGCAAAAGTTAAACATATTTCAAAAGAAATCATCTGGAAACCCAGCTTAAAACAAACCCTATTTCAATAACCATCTGCTGACCTTTAACAATTCTGGGTCTTCTGTAACAACCAAGGAAGGTAGTATTTTGGAAAAAGATGGCCGTAAAATGAAATGTATTTCAAAGTTTTTCTAAATAGCAGTATAAAATGTTTAATCAATATTCCCTGAAAGACATGTAATTTCAGGTTTAAAATATTTTCTTTTCCTGGATTATACAGCAATAAAATATTAGTCCATAAAGTTTATATTGAAATAATATTATGATATTGAAATTTATGCATTAAATTAACAAGATTTCAAATTGATTCCATTGTAGACTGCATTTGCCAATTTTCTTAATATTTCAAACCACCTTATGCTGTTTCTGATACCAGCTAATGATTTTACACCTATGATGTAAAGTCAATTAACTCTTCTATGGTAATGTGACACTAAATATGGCAAATAATCTTTCTGCGTGATAAGTTTCATCATATTTTTCTTAAATAAAATCCAAATATTGAATATAGATCATAGAATCCAAATATAGAATTCTCTTTTCTAAATACAGAAACAGTAAGTACTCAAAGCTGGCAAGCTCATTTGCTAATATCTTTAAATTATGAAGTATACAAGTTTATTGCTTTCTTTTATTTCAATATTAGAATTAATAGCAAATTCAGTATCTCAAAATAGTGCAATACATAGGACATGATTTTAGATGTACTTAGAATTGAACAAAGATGAAGCATTACAAGAAGCAAACATGTGATGAACAGTTATTTCTTGAAAGTGACAATTGTATTTTCATCAAACCATTTCGAAAAATTGCAGGTGTTGAAAACAAAAAAGTCAGCAAAAAATAAGATACATATCTTTTTGGAAAGATGATTTTATTTTAAATCGAAGACAAAAAATATGCCCTCCAACTGAGCAAAGATCATTATTCTTTCACTTGTGGAAGATCTCCTCATTTTTCAATATCATTAAAAACAAGATTCTCTGTTTTCTAATTTTGAATACACATAGACTGATCACATGACATTTTCATTGTCATCCAATCAAATGTTGCTTAAAAATTGGTATTTGACCAGCAAGTTTTATATTAAGCTGTGATTCAGTACTTACATTTATCTTAGGTGCCAGTCCTAATCTGATATCATTCACCTGGGAAATTTCACGAACTTGTCCTTCCTGCAATACAAGTTATTCTATTTTTGTAAAAATAAAAAAAAACTATAGAAGGCAATGGCGATGAATCTTTTTATAATTTGATGATATGAATAATTTTCAAACTATGAAAAGGCATAAAATTGTCGCTTTTTACTGAAAAAATCGAACAAGCTCCCAGCCAAATTTAAGACTGTATGACAAGCTCTTTTCTCTTGTCCTAAGTCCAAACCATAAGTCAAGCTCTGTATCACCTGTCCAAATTTAAGACTTAAAGGCAAGCTCTACATCACTTGTCCCAAGTCCAAACCATACATCAAGCCATATATCACCTCTCCTTATTTAAGACTTTATGGCAAGCTCTATATTTCTTGTCCCAAGCCAAAACCATCTGTCAAGTTTATCCTGTCTCAAATCAAATCATACAGGCTTATGTCACAATGGGCCATTCCTTTTAATTTCTGAACAATGGGGGTAGATGGTTACCATGTCAAACACCCCCTTAAGAAAAATTTTCAGGCAATTTTCAACCGCTCAGATGCTTGGCTTAAAACCCCTCAGATGCCAAATCGTTCCATCAACCCCTCATTTTTACATATTCAAACAAGAAAAGACCCCTCAGAAAAAAAACATGGGTACCTCTCATATATATTATGAGCTAATCGGTACCATTATGAAATGACTTTTGATACCCCTCAAAAACACCATCCACCACCCCCCTTTTTCAGATATTAAATGGAATGGTCCAATCTACATCACCTGTTCCGAGTGTAACCAAATGTCTAGCTTTACATCACCTGTCCCAAGTAAAACCAAATGTCAAGATCCAGATCACCTATCTAAGGTCGAAACCATATTTCAAGTTCTAAACTATATGTCCATAGTCAAGACTATATGTCAAGCTCTTTATCACCAGTACCATGTCAAAACCATATGTCAATCTCTATATCACCAGTACCATGTCAAAGCCACATGTCAATCTCTAAATCACCAGTACCATGTCAAAATCACATGTCAAGCTATATATATATATATATCACCAGTACCATGTCAAAGCCACATGTCAACCTCTATATCACCAGTACCATGTCAAAGGCACATGTCAAGCTATATATCACCAGTACCATGTCAAAGACATATGTCAATCTCTGTATCACCAGTACCATGTCAAAGCCACATGTCAATCTCTAAATCACCAGTACCATGTCAAAATCACATGTCAAGCTATATATATATATATCACCAGTACCATGTCAAAACCACATGTCAAGCTATATATATATCTGATTCTGTTCTGAAGCATATGAAAAGTTTTAAAATGTCTGTTGTTAACAGAAGTCTGGGTTCCTGACACAATATTCTCAATACCCTAAGAGCACTTATATTTGAAGTAAGTGAAATTGAAAATATTTCAACAGGACAAAGATCATTTTAACCATAAGAAATAAACTGCTTCGCTGAGCGCAGCTGGATACGCCCGCAGAGGTCCAACCCTGAACAGTTGGGGCAAAATTGGACACAATATTCAAGCTTGATACAGGTCTGAATTTGGATTGTAATTAAATATTTGACATATTATAGGTTTCTGAATAAATGTAGTCGAAGAACTTGAAATTGGTTATATGAACTGAATTTATATTCAATTAAAGATTTCTTGCTGTTGTGCAATACACTATGCTGTTGCGCATTACTTAGTAAATCTGTTGTCAGACTATAAACAAATAAAATTTATAAAATTCTAAAGGGAGCTTACATCAATAGATATAAACAATTCACCAAAGTTTCATAAGAATTGCTGAAAGCATTTTGGAGTTTTTGTCTGAAAACTGGAAAATCCCCCCTTTTTTAATGAATAAAACCCCATAACTCGGAAATGTAAAATCTAAAATTAATAAAATTCTAAAGGGAGCTTACATCAACAGATATCAACAATTCATCAAAGTTTCATTAGAACTGCTGAAAGCATTTTTGAGTTATTGTCGGAAAACTGGAAAATCCTCCTTTTTTTATGAATAAAACCCTGTAACTTGGAAACGTAAAATCTAAAATTTATAAAAATCAAATGGGAGCTCATTTCAATAGATATAAACAATTAAACAAAATTTCTTGCAAGTTGGTGAAAGCATTCTTGAGTTATTGTCAGAAAACTGGAAAATCCCCCTTTTTTAATGAATAAAACCCCATAACTCGGAAATGTAATATCTAAAATTTATAAAATTCTAAAGGGAGCTTACATCAATAGATATCAACAATTCATCAAAGTTTCATGAGAACTGCTGAAAGCATTTTTGAGTTAATGTCCGAAAACTGGAAAATCCCCCTTTTTTTTATGAATAAAACCCCGTAACTTGGAAACGTAAAATCTAAAATTTATAAAAATCAAAAGGGAAATCATGTCAATAGATATAAACAATTAACCAAAATTTCTTGCAAGTTGGTGAAAGCAATCTTGAGTTATTGTCAGAAAACTGGAAAATCCCCCTTTTTTTAATGAATAAAACCCCATAACTCGGGAACACAAAATCTAAAATTTATAAAAAACGAAAGGGAGCTCACATCAATAGATATAAACAATTCACCAAAGTTTTATGCAAATTGGTTAAAGCGTTTTTGAGTTAATGTCCGACATGTGGACGACGGACGGACAGACGGACGGACGGACAGACGGACAACGGTATACCATAATACGTCCCGTAAACGGGCGTATAAAAATGGTTACACAACACATAATAATTGGATATTGCTTTTTATCGCTATTTTGTGTATTTTTCTATCTTTTTTTTGCGATAATATTTCATATCATGCTCCTCGCTTGAGATAGAAAATTATCGTCATAACTAAGGGCCCACATGCTTTTGTCAATGTAAACATCAATTTTGTCAAAGACAAAATAGTGATAAACAGATTATCAATGGTCTTTCAAACTCGAGGATTAGGTTGGTGACAATTGTGAAGCATTACTGAGTTCACCCCTGGTTGGGTTTATTTCGCTCAATCTTTAATAGTTTTCTGTGTATTGGTTATGTTGTGTGGACTATTCTTTTTCATGCTTTTTTCATCTGACAATTTCTTCAACATATGATTTTGATTTCCCTGTGATATCTTCTGCCCCTTTTTTTATCAGTTTTATACAGGGATCTTTTTTAATTGTGCCTTCCTGCCTCAGATATATTTGCCAGCTTAAGAAATCAAGTAAGCAGTACAATGGTTTTGGTCTCAATCAGTATTAATACAATAAAATATCTATAGATGTTTAAGCTTACCCTGCCTTCACTCTTCCAGTAAATGAAAAATCCATTTTCATCTACCTTAACCAAGCATTTAGGTTCCAATGTACCTGATTCCTGTAAATAGAAAATTCAGTAACAAATGGTTTCTTATAAAAATTATGCACTGTTATAAATGTTTAATAAGTTGGTTAACAAGGGTCTGGATGAAGGGCCTTCTTTTATGTATTTTATTATATTTCAGGTAATTTTTCTTTTCAAAATTTTGTTCGGCCATTATTCTCTTTTCTTTTTATTTAAGCACCCAATTATTCTCTGGGTTTTTTTTTGCCTATTTTTTTCTATTGTTGATTTTGACTGCCCATTATTCTTTATTCTTTACACCCATCCAGACCCTCGTTAATGGATATTACAGATTTTTTTTTTATAATTCTCATATGAACAATACTAGAGGCTCTCAAGAGCCTGTGTCGCTCACCTGTATTTACTGGTGCTTTGGAAATCATGTAAAATAAGGTTAAAATCATAATTAATAGTTTTAGATATTAGATATTATAATGATATCTAAGATAATAACAAAAAACTGCAAAATTTCTGTAAAATTACTAACTCGGGGGCAGCAAACCAACAACGGGTTGTCGGATTCGTCTGAAAATTCAGGGCAGATAAATCTAAATCTGATGAACATTTTTGCCACCTGTCAGATTTGCTCTAAATGCTTTAGTTTCAGAGATATAAACCAAAAAACTGCATTTTACCCCTATGTTCTATTTTTAACCAAGTCGACCATGATGGTTGAAAGGCGGGGACATCGGACAAATTTTTTTGAACTAGATACCCTAAAAATGATTATGGCCAAGTATGGTTAACTTTGTCTCAGTAGTTTCAGAGAAGAAGATTTTTGGAAAAGATTACAAAAATTTACGAAAAATTGTTAAAAATTGACTATAAAGGGCAATAACTCCTAAAGGAGTCGACTGACAATTTTGGTCATGACGACTTATTTGTAGATCTTACTTTGCTGAACATTATTGCTGTTTACAGTTTATCTCTATCTATAATAATATTCAAGATAATAACCAATAAAACTGGGGCGCAGCTTGATACAACCGCCGAGGTCGAACCCTGAACAGTTGGGTCAAGTATGGACACAACATTCAAGCTTGATACAGCACTGAATTTGGACTGTAATCAAATATTTGACACAGCATAGGTTTCTGACACAGAATGAATGTGGTCTAAGAACTTAAATTTTTTTAATTTACCTATTCAAACCATATCATTATTATTTGCTTTTATATATAAATCAGAAATAACCAATTTAAAAAGGAAAAAAAAATCCCCTACAAATTTTTTGAACCCCCTTATGATTCATCACCCCCAAACTCTATCCCAGCCTTCCCTTTGTGGCATGGTACCTTGCAGTACAATTTCAGAGAGATCCATACACTTGAACACAAGTTATTGTCTGGAAACTAGAAAAATGCTTGTTTTTTGGCCCCTTTTTGGCCCCTAATTCCTAAACGTTTAGGGCAATTACCCCCAAACTCAAACCCAGCTTTCACTTTGTGATATGGAACCTTGCAGTACAATTTCATAAAAGATCCATACACTTACACACAAGTTATTGTCCTGAAACTAGAAAAATGCTTGTTTTTTTGCCCCTTTATGGCCCCTAATTCCTAAAATTTTGAGGGAATTACCCCCAAAATCAATCCCAGCCTTCCCTTTTTGGTATAGTACCTTGCAGTACAATTTCAGAGAGATCCATACACTTGAACTCAAGTTGTTGTCTGGAAACTAGAAAAATGCTTATTTTTGGCCTCTTTTTGGCCCCTTATTCCTAAACTTTTTGGGCAATTACCCCCAAACTCAATTCCAGCTTTCCCTTTGTGATATGGAACCTTGTAGTACAATTTCATAAAGATCAATACACTTACACACAAGTTATTGTCATGAAACTAGAAAAATGCTTGTTTTTGCCCCTTTATGGCCCCTAATTCCTAAAATTTTAAGGAAATTACCCCCAAAATCAATCCCAGCATTCCCTTTGTGATATGGAACCTTGTGGTACAATGTCAGAGAGATTCATACACTTAGACACAAGTTATTGTCATGAAACTAGAAAAATGCTTGTTTTTTGCCCCTTTTTGGCCCCTAATTCCTAAAATTTGGAGGCAATTACCCCCAAAATCAATCCCAGCATTCCCTTTGTGAAATGGAACCTTGTGGTACAATGTCAGAGAGATCCATACATTAACACACAAGTTATGTCTGGAAGTTACAAAAATGCTTATTTTTGGCCCCTTTTTGGCCCCTAAAAATCAATCCCAAAATCAATCCCCACCCTCCTTTTGTAGTATTGAACCTTGTGGTAAAATTTCATAGAGATCCATTTACTTAAACTAAAGTTAGAGTGCGAAAACCAATGTGTCTTCGGACAACGACGACAACGCCGGACGACGACGACGCCAACGTCATACCAATATACAACCGCAAAATTTCCTTAAAATTACCAATTCAGGGGCAGCAACCAAACAACAGGTTATCAGATTTGTCTGAAAACTTCAGGGTAGATAGATCTTGACCTGATTATCAGTTTTACCCATGTCAAATTTACTCTAAATGCTTTGGTTTCAGAGATATAAGCCAAAATCTACATTTTACCCCTATGTTCTATTTTGAGCCATGGCGGCCATCTTGGTTGGTTGGCGGGGTCATTGGACACATTTTTAAAACTAGATACCCTAATGATGATTGTGGCCAAGTTTGGTTAAATTTGGCTCAGTGGTTTCAGAGGAGAAGATTTTTGTAAAAAGCTAACGACGACAGACGACAAGTTATGAGAAAAGCTCACTTGGCCCTTCGGGCCAGGTGAGCTAAAAAATGTAGATATTTATTTTTTATTTTCATCAACCTTAAAAATAGATAATTAAAAATAAGGGAATTGTCTGTAATAAGACACAAACAAAATTTATTCAGGCAATTTGAGAATGTAGGTGATGATTTTAATAATACAGAACTGCATTGTACATCTTTAAGAGGACTGTTGTTATCTTACAAATGGACTTGCTGTATCATTGGCGTATATATTGTGCCCTACATCTCCCTTAACTTAGTTCATATTAAATGCAAAATAATAAAATAACTTGAGCATAAAATGATCTTTGTATTGACAATTTTTTTAATATTCCACAACATCATTTTATGTGTATAGTTGCAGAAATTTCTTATACTATACACATAAAATGATGTTGTGAATTATTAAAATAAACTGCTTCGCTGAGCGCAGCAGGATACGCCCGCAGAGGTCCAACCCTGAACAGTTGGGGCAAAAATGGACACAATATTCAAGCTTGATACAGGTCTGAATTTGGATTGTATTAAATATTTGACATATTATAGGTTTCTGAATAAATGTAGTCAAAGAACTTGAAATTGGTTATATGAATTGAATTTATATTCAATTAAAGTTTTCTTGCTGTTGTGCAATACACTGTGCTGTTGCACAATACTTAGTAAATCTGTTGTCAGACTATAAACAATTAAAGTTCAATTAATTCTCAATGTCATATTAGAAATTTATGAAAATGTAAAGGGAGCTTACATCAATAGATATAAATAATTCACCAAAGTTTCATGAGAATTGCTGACAGCATTTTTGAGTTATTGTCCGAAAACTGGAAATCCCCCCTTTCTTAATGAATAAAACCCCATAACTCAGAAATGTAAAATTTAAAATTAATAAAATTCTAAAGGGAGCTTACATCAACAGATATCAACAATTCATCAAAGTTTCATAAGAACTGCTGAAAGCATTTTTGATTTTTTGTCCGAAAACTGGAAAATCCCCCTTTTTTTTATGAATAAAACCCTGTAACTCGGAAACGTAAAATCTAAAATATATAAAAATCGAAAGGGAGCTCATGTCAATAGATATAAACAATTTCTTGCAAGTTGGTGAAAGCATTCTTGAGTTATTGTCCGAAAACTGGAAAATCCTCCTTTTTTTAATGAATAAAACCCCATAACTCGGAAACGTAAAATCTAAAATTTATAAAAAAGAAACGGAGCTCACGTCAATAGATATAAACAATTCACCAAAGTTTTATGCAAATTGGTTAAAGCGTTTTTGAGTTAATGTACGACATGTTGACGATGGACGGACAGAGGTATACCATAACACATCCCGTAAACGGGCATATAAAAATTGTCAAAATTGGTGCATGAAATATTATTCCATGCATGGAAAAACTTAACATAAGTCCCTCAAACATAAAAGAACAGCAATGTCCCCCATGTTGCAAAGATTTTATCATGTTACTTGTCCAAGGGCATTTAACTAAATAAAATACATAAAAATCTTTCAAACTTTTTATAAATATTGCAGAAAAATGTAGGCTTCAGAGTGCTTAAAATGCAATTTTCCATGATTAATATTTCGAAGGGCATAACTCTTTTAAAAACAATTGATTGGCATTGATTTTCCAACTTGTCCAAGACATGGCTGTACTAACCCTTGATATAAATTTTATAAATATCTAGCAAGAACTGAACAGGAGAGAACGCTTACAAGGCCCGAGGAACGCCCTTATTTCTATATCCCCTGCACCTCATCACGCGGACGACAATATAATACAGACCTCTTACTAAATGAAAGGAGGAAGTTAATTTGTTATATTTTACATGTTTATAAATGTGTCTTTCCTATTTATGAATTTCATTTGCTTTCTCATATAACTTAAAGTTTGTTTCAAGAAATATAAGCCTGTTTTAGGTTTAAACACCCTAATATAATTATCATATGAGAGTAATCTAAGTCCTGTCTCTTTGTAAATGAAAGTATAGCAGTTAATTTGTTTTTTCTATGGTTTCTCTTACCAACTAAAGGGCTAATTCTTTCACACAATAAATTTCAAAATATGATATAATCAGACATTTAACAAAGCAAACAAAAATAGCAATATTTATATCATGTGAACCTATATATGTTTTAAAGGTCATGCTTCCTCAATGGTAATGATTAGAACTCATCAACTCTAGAAAAGTATGTTGTCACTTGAAACATTTAAGATTTGTTATATTTGTAATATTACTGTATATTCAATTGACACTTTAAAATGTCATATTTCATAACATATTTAGAAGTGATTTTAGCATGTACAAAATATTTATTCCCATCTAATAATAAATTAACCGACTATCTGTTATTATGGAAACTGAATCACGCAATTAAAGGGAGTTTTTATCACACCTTTGACAAAGTACTGGAAGTAGAATCTATACAAATTTCCCCTGTTATACCATTATCTTGTTATCCCTAATTAAATCTGCATAGAACATATTTCTTTATTTTGTAATACATGCTTCCTTTCCTTGAAAGAAAAATTTGAATAATCTGACTTATTCAGCTGTACATTCAATGAAATATTCCCAAAAGATATGGACTGTGTAGAAAATCAATACAATTAAGTGTAAGAAACATGACAACAAAAGCACCATTTACGTAGTAAAACAGGTTTTCAATTATATATGATCATATTCTTAAACTACCCATGTGAGATTAAAAGAAAAACCACCACAATTCTTACCGCAGTTCTTTTCAAAACCAAAATAACTTTAATTACCAAGATATTGTCTGTTGTTCATATAAATTGTTTAATAATCATGTGACTGGAATAGAGACTTAAGTGGTCATTAGTTTCACCATTTTTCAATGTCACATTTGATAAAGGAGATGTAAAAATATATTGAAAACTCCATAATTCATTCAAAGGAAGGCTGTCAAGTCTACCTTCTGTCTATAATCAATTTTTACAGACCAAGTAACAGTCATTTGGGGAATAATGGGTCTTCATATTGAACCAGGTTACTGGAGTGTCTGAATAAAAAAATACATTGTTTCTGGACATTTCATCTATCAGTTTCAACAAAGTGCATCTTTACCCGAGATTTATACTTAATTGAACTAAAACATATGCATGGTATAGCTTGCAGACTATTTCAAATTATTTACTAGAGACACATCTTGCGCGTTGCTGTCATATTTATATCTCACAAGATTGCATAGATCGGAGCATGATAACAAGAGGCTCACCTGGGCCTGTTTCTCTCACCTGCATTATTTAATTTGAACCTAGCTCCTGTATTATTCAAGATATAATGTAACTGCCAGAAACTGCAAAAATTGGTCAAAATAGATATTTCAGGGGCAAAAACTCCAAAATGGGTGGCTGGATTTTCTCGGATTTTCAGGAAAAATACATCTTGTTGTGCTAATCATTTTTACAATTTACACTTTTAACCTAGCTCCTAAAGTATTAAAGATAACAGTCAAAAACTGTGAAATTTGATAAAAACTTATATTTCCAGGGCAATAACTCCATATAACAAACAAATGTAGGGTCAGACCTTGTTGTGCTGACCATTTTTTTCCCTTTGGTGGTTAATTTGTAATTGCTATATAGTTTCAAGATATTAGCAAAAACTTGGCAGTTTGACCTCTATGTTATATTTTGAGCCAAGGTGGCCATGTTGGTTGATAAACTGGGACCAAAATCACAAATTTTTTTGTGGACATTCTAGAGATAAAGCACAAACTCTTAAGATTAAATCCATTGTGCATTTTAAGAAGAGAAGATTTATATAAAGATGAAAATTTGATTGTTTCTTGTTGAATCTTACCTCATCCCAGCGATCAAATATAGCACCATTTTGTAAATATTCTGGCACTGGAATCTGCCACTGGAACTCAAATTGCTTGGCCATCAAGACCTCCCACAGATAACATCACATCTGAAATGGTCAAGAAAATTCTACATACTGCAAATACAAAGAACTTTCTCATTCAGTTTATTGTTCAAAATTTATTTAAATTACATAAACATAAATTCACCATGTTACATTGTATGTTTATTTTGGAAGTCAATTCTTATATAACCTTGTTAAAAAAACATATCTGTAACTTAGAACTTCAGTTTTCAACTAATTGCCAATTACAAACCAACACAATAAACTCATAACTCTCAACTATCTGTAAACAGAATACAATATCTTGAACATTTTATATCTTAAAATACATCTCCTGTACTTTCTCTTGATGACAAGTCTATATTTAATTAGGTCTTTCCACCTTTCCGTGGAAAGACCTATTGGTTTTCTTCTGATTATTTTTTTTTTCTTCCGCCTAATTTTTTTCTTGCAGTGTATTTTTGTTTCAAAAGATGTCGCTTAGTTTTTTGGTATATGATATCATACAGTCTATACGCTTTTGAAACTGACCCTGTTTAACCGAACACTTTTCTTTGTAAGAGTTATCTCCCCAAACACTGTTTTTCTTGTTATGAGATCTCCTCCGCAACCGTAAAAGAAAGCGACAAATTTATTTTTCCAAATTGCTCGTTATATCCTCAGGATGTTAGGTTTTATTTAGACCGAAGCTTTACGAAGACTCCATATGAGAGTTATTTCCCCTTTTGTATTTGATATATGTGAAATGTATTTGTAACTGGAAAACCATAAGTGATAGAGGCCTAGGGTCTTTTGATTTGAGGTCCTTGGTCCATAAAAATGAAAATGAGGTCAAGGTCAAGGTCATGTTCAAAATTTTGATTTTGGCTTATCACTAATTTTCAGAAATCTTATAAGATATCGACATAATATTTTACAGAATTGTTAGTTGCGATATGTCGTAACAGGTAAATATGAATTGAAAGCGTTCAGAGACATTTAATGGGAGTTTTCTCCCCTATCATATTTAAAATTACACGTATGATGATATAACTCATTTATCATATATAATTAAGACCTAGGGTCTTTTGATTTGAGGTCTTTGGTTTATGACCTTGAAATTGAGCTCAAGGTCATAGGTAAATTAAACGTTCTAGATTTTGACCTTTGCTTTTACCTCATAAGTATACATGATAAAGCCATGGGACTTTTTGCATTAGGTTGCAAGACATTTGAACTTGAAAAGTCAATCCGGAAGTGACCTTTTGTAAACCGGAAGTAGCTATTTTTTGTATTAAATTAATGTAAAAGTATATAGAACCATATATTTTTGGAATCAGTGTCAAGTTAACTATCAAACAATACCAGAAGTGACATTTTTCAAACCGGAAGTAAAAAAATATCTCCCTTATTTATATCTTTTTGTATAGAAACCATATATTTTTGGAATCAGCGTACAATAAGCTGTCATTTGACTCTGGAATTGACATTTAAAACCAAATTTTAATATTTCATATCAAAAAAGATCCTTACTGGTGGAAAGACCTTCAATTGTTCTCTGAACAATTGGTTTTTAATTTTGATAAAATTTCTTTTAATATTCCCATGCAAGTAATCATAGTTTATTCAGTATCTATAAATCTTACAATGTCTTAGTAAGAATTCCTGATGACAGCTGACAGAATAGGGTTTGATAGGAAATTCGATATTTGACGCTATGTGACGTCAATGCTCAGTGATCAACATCTGCTCAGCAAGTAACAGATCAATTTATAAAACATCATTCATAACTTTTAAAGTTTCATTAAAAATCAAATCATCTAAATAAAGCCATCATTTCTTCTTTTATAATGATTTTAAATTAATATATCATGATATTTATTGAATTTCTAATGCTAATTTTTTAGAATAAAATCCCCCAGTTGCATTATTAGGCTAATCATTTAAGGAAATTTGCATTTGATTATTGTCAAATTTATTGTTAAATTTTTCAATATCTATGCTACAATTCCAGAGTAAATAAAAGCTTTAATGAGTAAATTTTGCTGATATAAATCAATCGATATTGAATTTGGTTAATATGTTTTTCCTCAGTAGCTTTCGAAGTTTGCTTTGTATATTTATGATGTAATTAAAATGCAATTTCTAACACAACCAACTTCACAAAGGTAAAATTTACTTTAATATGACAGGATTCTAAGTCAATTGTGGCAGTGAGACACATTAACAGTAAGAGAGTCAATTGGTCCAAGTGTTAGCTAGCCCAAAAGTCTGAGAGTCTGAAGGTCTGCTAGTCCAAAAAATTGTTGGTCCAAATATTCTGTACTCAAACACTCTGTTTTAAATATAAATAAGGATTACGAAAATAACAAAATGCCCAGTTTGATTAAACCAAAAATGTGAATCAACAATGAGCAAATACATGCACCATTTAGTCACCAAGTGTTACCTATGAAATAAGCTTTACATCACATTATTGCAGTATTAAGTACAATGACCATGTCTTTTGGTTTGTATGTCATTGAAAGTTACCCCCATCTTAGTTTGTTCCTATTTTAAAATACTTGACATCATCACCACAGTTCTTACTAAGGCTAGTCCATGAGTCATCATTTTCAAAACTGGTAAGTCCAAAGATGCATCAAGATTATAAAATGTTGTATCAATTGAGCAAGTCATCATTTTATATCAAAAGTTTAAAAAAATTATCTAAATTTGATGTCATTTCCTTGCTCTTTTTTGTCATGGTGACTAAAATAATAACTTCTATAGCAATAGAATTTCATTTTCTCACTGTTGGACTCGCCATAGCCAAAAATGATGAGTCCCTGGACTCTCCTTCAAAATTCCATAGTGAGAACCCTGATCACCACTTTATTTAATTAATTAACAATAGTATTTGAAGATGCACTGTTTTTGTGCTATTTGAAAAAAAGGCAATACCTGGCAGGAATTTACATCTGAAGATACGATAAGTGTTTAGCTAAAACAAGAGATCAAAACACTTCAAGTAATGAAAGATTCTTAATGCCAGATGGAAAAACAAGCTAGTAGAAAAGCCTAAATACTTAATTAAACATATCTATTGTTTAATGTCTAAAGTTAAACTACTCTTTCCACAATCTGATCAAGAAAATTAAGCTTGAATCCAGTAATCCAAAAAGAAGCAATCAGGTCTGTCATTTGTCTGTTTTATTTAATTTCATTCTATATTTAAGTATTTTAAACAATCAGTAACTGTGTTAGTATCCTCAAGCATCAGATCAAGATAGGTTCTTTGAAAAATCATAACATAAAACAAAGGTTATTACTGTGATTGTATTTGAGAAGATGAGGTTCAAATAGGGGTTGGTTTGTTTTTACTTTTGTTGAAATTCTCTTTAAATTTTGATATTTTCTAAAACTTGAATTTTTAGTAATAAATTAGCCAAATTGACTCTATTTGAAAGTTATGATAAACGTAAATGTGCAAAAAATTAAATTACATACAAGCAGTATTGTTCAATTTCAGAAGTTGAGTAATGAATTCCATTATGATAAAATCAAAATATGTGATTGTCCCAAAGTGCAAAAATTTTACACACCAAAGTTCAACTCCTACTGTTTTGGTGAAAACTGCTAAAATATCCTGACTTACTGTATCTTGGTCAACTCAAGACAGCTGTATCTACAGTGACTGCTGTGTTTTTTTTTTTATTGATTTGAAGACATTAATAAACCACTATGACTACAGCCCTACACTATAGGTAAATGGTAAACCACTATGACTACAGCCCTACACTATAGGTAAATGGTAAACCACTATGACTACAGCCATACACTATAGGTAAATGGTAAACCACTATGACTACAGCCCTACACTGTAGGTAAATTGTAAACCATTATGACTACCTGCCTGCAATATAGGTAAAAGGTAAACCACTATGACTACATGTCTACACTATAGGTACCTGGTTAACTATACAGGTAACTATAGGCCTGCGGTGTATGTAAATGGTAAACCACTATGACTTCAGCCATACACTATAGGTAAATGATAGACCACTATGACTACAGCCCTATACTGTAGGTAAATGGTAAACAACTATGACTACATGCATATACTTTAGGTAAATGGTAAACCTCTTTAACTATAGGCCTAGGGTGTAGTACATGTACAGCCCTGTGATCAGTTTCACAAAAAATCTTACGACTAAGTTGATCCTAAGTATACCGAATTGTTCATGACTTATGACCAACTTTAATTGGAAGATTTTGTTTGAAACTGATCACTGAAGTATAGGTAAATCGTAGTAAAACCACAATCATCCACAATGACTACCCATCTACAGTGTAGGTTAAAAGTAAACTTCTATGACAAAAGTCTATAACCACTATGAATTCATCCATACACAATGTAGGTAAATGGTAAACCACTATGACTGTTGTGGTCCTATATTACATGTATATACTGTTATAGGGTCAATGGTAAACCACTATGACTGTTGTGGTCCTATATTATACACTGTTATAGGGTCAATGGTAAACCACTATGACTGTTGTGGTCCTACATTATACACTGTTATAGGGTCAATGGTAAACCACTATGACTGTTGTGGTCCTACACTATACACTGTTATAGGGTAAATGGTAAACCACTATGACTGATATAGGGTCAATGATAAACCACTATGACTGTTGTGGTCCTATATTATACACTGTTATAGGGTCAATGGTAAACCACTATGACTGTTGTGGTCCTACATTATACACTGTTATAGGGTCAATGGTAAACCACTATGACTGTTGTGGTCCTATATTATACACTGTTATAGGGTCAATGGTAAACATCTATGACTGTTGTGGTCCTACATTATACACCTATAGTGTAGGTTAATAGTAAACTTCTATGACAAAAGTCTATAACCACTATGAATTCATCCATACACAATGTAGGTAAATGGTAAACCACTATGACTGTTGTGGTCCTATATTACATATATATACTGTTATAGGGTCAATGGTAAACCACTATGACTGTTGTGGTCCTATATTATACACTGTTATAGGGTCAATGGTAAACCACT